CTTAAGGTTTTACTGATTAGATTACACAGGCATACCTCGTTTTATTGCACTTTGCAGATATTGCATTTTTTTACAAATCGAAGGTTTGTGGCAAACATGCATCAAGCAAGCCTATCGGGACCATTTTTCCTACAGCATTTGCTCACTTCACGTCTCTTTGTCACATTTTGGTAATTCCCGCAATAGTTCAAGCTTTTTCATTGCTATCATATTTGTTATGGTGGTCTGTAATCAGTGTTCTTTAATGTTACTATTGCAAAAAGATTTTGACTTGCTGGAGGCTCAGGTGATCATTAGCACTTTTTAGTAATACATTATTTTTAAATTAAGGTATGCGCGTTTTTTTAAACATAGAGGGACACCCCATGAGACACACAATCCCACCCCCACCACATATACCCACCTACTAGATGGAATTGAAAGGCCGAAGAAGTCCCCTGTATGTGGTCAGGAAACAATGCTCATATTTCCTCTCTTCTCCACTCTCCTTAGAGTAGCTGGACAGAGCACTATCAAAGCCAAAGTCATCTATCCCTTAGAGACCAAGACATCCCTCTTGATAAGAAACTAGCCATCTTGGTTTTCATGCTGTAAAGTATTTTGTTTTGTTTTTAGGGTAAACTGGCTGAATTCCTTGCTTCTGTCTCTACTTTAGAAATATTGTTTAAAATAATCCATCCGTATGATGTTGACTGGTTCTGATTTTTTTCTTAAACTTTCTTTTCCGATTATGGACATGATCGGTTCTACTACTATATCATTTTTAACAAGCCATTTTTTCCCCAAGGAACTCATTTATTTTATGAAGCTCAGAAAATAAAAGTGGCCCCTTAATCCCATTACTGACACTGTCTTATGTATTCTACTTTAGACTTTCCTGTGCTTATATAAAGATTTCTCCCCCAAAATTGGACTCTTGCTATAGATACTCTCATAACTCTTTTCACTCAATAGTAGATCATGTATGTCTCAGTATTTATGTAAATATTAATCTCACAGAGCAGTACTGTATAGTGCTTTTTTTTTTTTTTTTGCGGTACGTGGGCCTCTCACTGTTGTGGCCTCTCCCGCTGCGGAGCACAGGCTCCGGACGCGCAGGGTCAGCGGCCATGGCTCACGGGCCCAGCCGCTCCACGGCATGTGGGATCTTCCCAGACCGGGGCACTAACCCGTGTCCCCTGCATCAGCAGGCAGACTCTCAACCACTGCGCCACCAGGGAAGCTCTGTATAGTGATTTATAGGCATGGATTCTGAAGTCACAGAGACCTGAATTTGAATCCATTTCTGCCACTTGCCAGCTACAAGCCTTAATTTATTCACCTTTAAAATGAGGATAATAACAGCACAAACCTTCTAGGGTTATGAAGATGAGATGAAATGAGATGAGGTATGTCAAGTGCTTAAAAGTATCTGGCACACAGTAAGCATACAGTAAATTTTAGCTATTTAGAATAATCATGTTTGAGAACTGTATCATTTTTTATGTGTTTACCCCAATTTATTCACCTCTCCAGTATTAATAAACATTTAGATACTGGGCATTTAGGCTGTTTACAGTTTCCCAGTATTATAAAGCAACCCTGCAATATACACCCTTGCAACTAAATCTTTGTGTACTGTCTTATTTCCTTAGGACATAAAATTGGTGTGCCAAAGGGAATGTATATTTCTAAAGCTTTTAGTAGTATTTCTAAATACCCCTCCAAAAAGGTTATGGAACTCTAACTCCAGCATTCTTTGTTGTTTTTGTTGAAGATGATTTATCTGGAGTCATGTTTCAAAGAGATATCTTTAAAATTCTTATCATTGCTAACCATATTAATATATTAAAGGACAGTTAAGTCGTCACATTCATGCATAATACAGAGGTGTTTTCAAAATGGATCACCTGGTTGCCCTTGAGCCTCCATTACTAGAATATAAAAGATTTTCCTCTAAGAGAAATGTTATGTTGGCAATCTTCTCATCTTATTAAGATAGCAATGCCAATTTTTAACATTTGGTAGGATACCAAGTTTGGTTAATTTGTTTGTGGCCTTTTTTAAAAGCTATTTTAAAATTTTTTGTGTTGTTTGTAATAGAGAATGCCACTTCACAAAGTTTGATTACTGAAATGTTCTGTGGGTTTGATTTCTCTTGAGCGTAGAAGAGAGAAGGCTGATATAAAAATTTATTTACGTAAGTGTAGCATAGCCATGTTTAGAAACATGTATAAACATGATAAAGCTTCCCAGAGCCCGTAGCATAACTTATGTATCAGGACCTGCCACATGGTATTAGCATATTTAATCCTACTACTCAGGTTGAAAACAAGACTGATTTTTCTTTAAAGGTTAAAAATATTTTTCTTCACAACAGTTTGCTTTCATTTCCAGCAGGAAGGGAACTGTTTTCAATTTTTTTAACCATAAAAATTAGTTTTCATTGTGTTCAGATTTTTTAGTAGATCTATGCATGGTCTTGTTGAAATTTACAGTGTAGGAAAATATGAAGAAAAACATAAAAGTCACTTTAAATCCCACTGCCCTGCAATAAAGACTGTTAACATCTTACTGACCACACTTTTATGCATCATGTTTTTTTCACATGTCTTAAATGAACTAATCTTTTTAAAACTGTGAAACATACATAACAAAGTTTACCGCTTTAACTGTTTTTGAGTGTACAGTTCGATGGCATTAAGTACATTGACATAGTTGTGAAACCACCAGCACCATCCATCTCCAGAACTCTTTTTATCTTCCAGACTGAAACTCTGTACACGTTGAGCAATAGCTCCCCGCTCTCCCCTCCTCCAGCCCCTGGCAACCACGACCTACTCTTTTTCACTTTGTATTGAAATATAATATTCATACAGAAAAGTACACATACTACAAGTACGCTGATAGCCAAAAAACACATGAGGAAGAGAGTGTTTCAAAGTGTTACTGTTGAGGTTCCTTTTTTCTTTGCAGAGCAAGTTGGCAGTGCTCTACTAGTACAGATTTACGTTCTCTTAACTGCCACATTATTTTATTTGATCATGTTCTGTAGACTGACTGGTGACTAACTCAGAGCTAGCAAGCCTGTCACCCAGAGCATAATAAAGCACTGTGTAGTGATGCGTCACAAGACTGTTTTTGCATAGAGCTTATTAGCCAAGGCTTTTGGAAACGCCCTCAGCTGCACCTTGTTCTATATTAGTACTCCTCAGACAGGAAGAATTTTCTTTTGCTGCGGTAGCTTGTCCGGTTACCTTCAGGGTAAGTGTGTACAGTTCGTGTAAAAATGAGTTTCTCTTGTTTAACTTTATCTGATTCTTATTTGATTCTGTATCTTTTGAAATTTTAAGCATTTAAGCATCCAAATTAAGGAAATAAAAACAGAATGATCCTGTATAATGTAAAACTTCTTTATAGTTTGCAAAGATATGAATATGTAAAACTTTGCAGTGTCGTGAGTCTCAGAAATTATAATTTGTAGGATCTAATTTTAAGAGCTTATTGTTTAAAAAAAAGAGCTTATTGTTTCACACATACATGTTAAAGAAAAGCAAAGTACCCTCAGAAATCTCTTTTCAAGGGGAAAAAAGATCCAATTTTGTTGTTCATTAGTTGTGTGACTCAGTTTTGCTGATAGCCACATGCTTTGTGTAGCTAGGGTTAGGAACTATTTATTATGGCTAATAATAAAGATAATTAATTTTTATTTTGTGCCCATAAGCCTTATCCAGGATATCTTGGAATGGGTTTATACTGGTATGTTTTATAAATTAATAAAAACTGGATTACTGTCTGTAAGGATTATAACACATTGTGTATTGAAAATTAAGATTCAAACATATATATCACCATAATAGCCTAGAATGTTGTAGTTAACTTAGATTTAAATACTTGAATTTACTTTATTTTTTATAGTTAGCTAATGCAGCAGACCATTTCGTAAAGTAGTTTACTTGGTTTTTATTGGCAGCCTATATCCAAGCCCTGCATCTTGGGATGCTGCTTACTACCTGTGCTGTTCTAGGACATATTCAAGGACAGAGGAACTCAGAGTACTCTAAGGGTGATCAGTATAAATTACCTACTTTCTATGTGCCTTGGTTTACTCACCTTGAAAAACACTATTAGCTATTACGTTAGTGGAGATGGGGAGGATAGATGAATAAATTCTAAGCTTTGAAATTGTGTATTTTCATAAGTATCTACAAAATTCTGACTGAGAAGCCACATTTTACTATTTAAGAAAATTGGTATAAATTGCCAATTTTTAAATAACTGGCCTTTGAAATCTATTTTCTTTTCTTCTACCACCTTCTCTTACCATCCCACCTTTTGCTATTCAGTTTCATTTTTGTTTTCTCTCTGTATCAAGAGAAAGTTTCATTTTCCAGTTTGTGTATTTTTTTTTCACTGCTGCCTTGAAAATCTAATTAGGGAGAATTCTTTAAATGCCCCCAAGAAATTGATTTTATAATGTTATACAAATGAGGAACTTATAGTTTGATTTTCCATGTGCTAATCACCCTAAAAAAGTGTCATTATTAAAAAGCCAAGCTTAGGACAAGTAATATATGTTGCTGAAGATGTGCAGTAAGATATTTAGGACTGTTGCTGATACACTGTCCATACTGTAGTAATGCATACCTTTTCTTACGTAAGTAGTATACAGTTTACCATTCAAAATTGCCTTAATTTATTGTGTAATTTAAATGTTTCTAAAAGTATCAAGCTTAAAGCAGAATCACAACTTTTTAAGCTAAGAATATCAATGAATTTAATCTTTTTTCACTTTCCCATAAGACAGTCAAGTGGGCCTTTAAAAGTATTCAATTTGCATTCAAATAGATACTTTAAAACTTGTATAAAGGCAAGTAAATTTTTTTCATGTAGATATAGAAATTTTCAGTCATTTTGATTTGTAAATAACTTCAAGGTGTAAAGAGAATCATCTCAATGAAATACCACGATAGCTAAAATCAGTTATCAAGTTTGTGCTATGCAAGTGAAGTTCTTCTTACCTCTTGCTTCAGTCTTTAGCTTGGTCCTACATGTTCCTTGTAATGAACACTGTTACAGTAGAGACCTTAACCTCACAGTGAAAGAACACAAAGTAATTATTTTCCAGTTTCCACATTTTCCAGTCCACATATAAAGGTTCCAAATACTTAAAACTTCAGAACTTTCTTAGTAGAGAGTTCATAGTTCAAGGGTAATATTTTCTATTTTTGAACATGTCTTCTACACTTGATGTGTTTTTTTCAGCAACTTTTCTCTTGAAGCATCTGCAACAGATGACTGCTGGCAAAGTAAGCCAGAAGTTTATATACCAAGTATAGGTTTACAAGCCTATTGGTTTAAAAATATCCTGCCCTAATTTTCAATGTCTTCCTTAGAATAGCGCCAGAATGCTGACATTTATACCTTAGTCTTTACACTTCTATAATGATAGTGATTTTTCTATTAGGACTGCAGTGTCACTTCATGTGAGATTATCTTTGAGTAAGGATAAATTCTGGTCAGATTGCCAGTGAGGATTAGGAAGAATGAAATATCGTCATTGAAATTTGCAGAGTATCTAGTAAACTATTAGGTTTACTTATTAAAAATAACGTCCTAAAGTTGGCCATTAGCAGATTTCTGATCACTCTTTGTTTTCTTTTGTATAAATAAAATAATGAAGAGACCATGAGAAAGATAATTAACTCCTTTACCTACTAACACTGGCTTTTTTTTTTTTCCTTCTTCTTTCCTTTTCTACTAAACATGAATGAATGCTCCACAAAGAGCCATACTTGGGGGCAGAGAGTGGAGAGGAATTGGGCTACTTGGCTATGTGTAACAAAAGACTTTAGATTCCCAGATATTAAAACGTATTCTTCACCACTTGAATTGTTTTCCTTCGAGCTTTTCAAGTGTTTCAGAGTATGTGATATTTTTGTAAACTCCACTGTACTTTTTCACATCCTCCTTCCTTTTTTTCAAGCTAATAAAATGGTTTTATTTAAATAGTGCCTTCTGAGAAATCTAGAAATCCTTTTCAGATATTAAATATTGAAGAAAAGCCATAAGCATTTAATATTTTACTCTTTGGATTCTATAAATGAAGAAACAGACTTGCCAGGCAGTTTTGATGACAGTATTTTTCAGATGTGAAAAAATGGAGGTATCTTACTATTTGGAAATACTGTTTATTCAAATCTAAGATACCATCAGTTATAAGATCATCAACTTAACTAACAGCCTTTCTGAGAGGGGTGGGAAATACTTTTTTAAGTAAGATATTTCCCAATTTTATATATGTAATTTAAGTGGAAGGGGGGATGGATTTTAGAATTTGAGAATTTTTTTTTATGTCTGCTACACACATTTTAATTATAAAGAACACAAATCTAATGTTCAACTTCTATTACTAGAGTTTAAGAAAAAGTCAGTTTTTCCCTCTCAACTAACTTACCCTTTTTAAACAGTACTTTTATTATAAAATTTTGCTTACCTGGAATAAAGTAAAAGTAAAGTCATTGGGCTTCCCTGGTGGCGCAGTGGTTGAGAGTCCGCCTGCCGATGCAGGGGACACGGGTTCGTGCCCTAGTCCGGGAAGATCCCACATGCCGCGGAGCGGCTAGGCCCGTGAGCCATGGCCGCTGAACCTGCGCGTCCGGAGCCTGTGCTCCGCAGCGGGAGAGGCCACAACAGGGAGAGGCCCGCGTACCGCAAAAAAAAAAAAAAAAAAAAAGTCAAGTCATTGAGGAACAAAAATAAATAATTTTCCCTAAGATTTATACTGCAAAAATGAAACTTAGTATAATGATAGGGTATTTTTAAAACTTTTGGTTTAACAAATAGATGCATATAAATTTCACCCAAAACCCTTAAATGATCATTCAATTACATACCTATTTTGTGCCAGACACTATGCTAGATTCAAACACAAGTCAGATCTTAGTCACATCATTTCACAAAATTAAAGATTTTAAAATGAGAAAATTGAAGAATAAATTTGACTTGTGTGGATTATGCTTCTCCTTACATTCTTATTCAGTAATAATAATGCATAATTTTCCCACAAACTTCACCCTTACATGTAGAGATGTTGATAAAGTGTTCTTGCAATAAAGCATTTTCTTGCAAATATACACTTCACTTTAATTCTATTCAAATCTTATTAACACCATATAAATTCTTATAGGAGAGCTGCAACTTCTCCATACACAATTTTAACCCAAAACTTTGTGAGATAGAGTAAAATCTTTGCTGAGCTTCTTAGGAAAGAAAAAAAAAAATGCCTTCAGTAACTCGGTATTTCAGTCAAACCAAAAGCACCTTCCGGGTATGTCATTAACATAAAGAAAGAGACTAAAATGTATGTATGTCACTTGTACTTTTTTTCTCTCTCTTTCACTGTGACATCACCTGGGAAAATCCAGAAGATTGGATAACCGAGAAATGCCTAATCAAGATTCTGCTGTACATGTGAAAATGGTGGGTATTTGAATATTTCCAGTTCCATTTATTAATGGTGAACCTTCACCACTTTTACCTCTGTCTCTAACCAGATAATTAATTATGGGACTGTAACTGTATACAGATCTTTCTTCCCAATGTTAGACACACAGTAGAACTTCGAATGTTTGTTGAATTGAATTTCTTTGGAATTCTTTTTGCTTGAAATATAATGTGCATTGAAGTGTTTCTCGGCATATAAAATGATTACCCCGTTCCTTTTTGTGCTAAATTTTCCTTGCTCAGCAACAGCACACTTAAATCATACAACATGAGATCTTTTCTCTTAGGCCTCTGAATTAAAATGACCAGCATTTAAGAATTTTTAAAAACTTCTTGAACAGCAGTAGCTTTCATTGCATTATAGAAATTAGGATGAAGTAGGGAAAATATAGGCTTTGGCATCAGAACTGGCTTCAGATCTTAACTCAGTCCTTGATAGCTGTGATACCCTTGAATGAAGGCAACCATCTCACCTTTAAGAAATGGGTGTGAAAGCACCAACCTTGTGTTGTTTTCATTCATATATTTTCCCAGCTTTTTTAAGATATAATTGACAAATAAAATTACAAGATATTTAAAGTGTACAGTGTGATGATTTGATATGCATGTACATTGTGAAAGTTTACCCCATCTAGTTAACACATCCATGACCTCACAAATTTACCTTTTTTTTTTTTTTTGAGAACATTTGAGTTCTACTCTCTTAGTAAATTTCAATTTTGTGATAGTGTTAAACATTATGATCACCATGTTATACATTATATCCTCAGACCTTATTCATCTTATAATTGAAATGTTCTTATACATATTTAATGAAAAAGTATATATAAAGTACCTCATCGCACATAGTAAGCACTCAGTGAATGTGAATCTCCTATATTATGTTAGTAAGTGTTTTAGCTCTGTAAGTAGCATTTATTTGTATGTGTGGGGAAAATTATGTCCATCCTCCTTATTCATAAAAATTTTTTAAATCACAGTTTCCATCTTTTAAAGAGGACAACTGCCCCATGATCTCTTTCGTATTTTCTCTTTCTGTCCTTTTTGTTGTTCTTCCTCTTCTCTATTTTTTCATCCTTTTTCTTTCTAGTTTTCTTTTTCTGGTTTGAGCCTATAAACCAGAACTTAGCATGCAAACAGCTTTGTGTCACAATTAGTAAATCTCTCATTTAACTTTCCTCATCCAATATGTGATGGGAGGTTAAAGTTGACTCAAAGTGCTGATTAAGCTTGTCATCAGTATACTTAGAGCTGTTAGGATAAAGCATGAAATTGCTGATCTTTTTAATACATCAAATATAGTCCAATATTGGCAGTTTTGTATGGTTCAGCCTAATACTTGGACATGATCTTTGCATCCATTGCATGATTGACATTTGATTCATTGGTACTGAGCATGAACATCGCTGACTTAAATCATTCTAAACTCATTTTCTTTCTTGAGTTGATTTTCTTTTTCTTTTTTTAACCAAAATGAATACAAGAGACATAGGAAAGTCTTACCATATAATTTGTTGTTACCTGGATCCTAGAACCTTCTATCATGTGTCTCCTTTAGAAGCAAGTAGCAATGTAGTTAACCCACAATAACACTATTGAAGGAAAACAAGCCAAAAGATGATATATACTTAAATACTTTTTACTGTCATTGCGTGAATTTACACAATTTTTACCTTGGGTTTGCTTTTCTAAAAACATTGATACATCTTTTAAGTTGATATCTCCTTAGGATGTTATTCTTAACTTCTCATGATCTGAGTCCAAATCTCTCCTTCCAGACTTTACACACACTCACACTGTTCTCCATGTACACTTAAGTTCTAGAAAAACAGAGCTATTTATCTTTTTCCCACATTAGACCCTGTACTTTGACCCCTCCCCAGTCTCAGCATACCCAAATCCTGCTTCACTCTGAAATCCTAGCTCCATCGGCCCTCCCTCCTTTGACCCCAGCAGAAGTAATCTCAATTTCTTCTGTTTCTCTGATATTGTACTTGGACATCTTGGCAATGTATTAGTTATTTGGGTTCCTGTATTATAATCCATGTTAGAGAACATGCATTTGAGTATAAGATGTATATCTTACTAAAACTTCTGTATCTTTTACAGAGCTGCTTAACAGAATGCCTTACAGTTAAAGACTATATGGTAAATGAAGGAAAGAATTTGGCCTACACTCCCTTAATGTGGAGACAGGCCAGATATGTGGTAGGCAGGAGAGACGGCTATCAATAAAATTTAGCAGTGCATAATCTTCAAAGTAAATCATAGAATCATCCAGGTATGTGAGTGAGTAAATGTACCAGTCTGAATAGGTGGTTTTAAAAATCTATACTTTTTATGTCATCACATAAAAATTGTAGTGCCCACTCCTTTGTACCAGTAATGAAGACTTTTGCTTGTACCATATCTGAACATTGGAAAACAAAGAAAAAATATTTTCCCTGAGAGCTTCAGACAAAGATTCTTAAGTAATTCAAACTAATTTTGATGTGGCCGTGTTTAGGAAAATTACAGGTAGACATCCTTAGGACAATTTTGTGACTACTATGCAGATATACATTTATATCATCTCAGTGTATCCATAAGATAATATCAAACACTGTAATATTGCTATAGGGTTGTGAACAAAACTATATAACTTTGAAATCAATTTCTTTAGAAATCATGCATTCTGAATATGTAAGTAGACTAATAATTAGGAATTCGTTTCATCTGTACAGATACAATATATTAAAGATCAGCCAGAATAAGTATATTTTAGGTTTTCCATAGTTATCTTTAGCATTGCTTCAGATTAGGCTCCAGTCAACCAGAATACCCTGATTCTTGTCAGGAAAGCTTCGTTCCCTCCCTAACATTTTATATTATAGCCTTAGAAAATGAATTTGTTTTCTTTTGCTCACAAATGATGGAAATTTTTAGCCCCTTATTTTTCATAAAATTGTATTATCAAATTGGAAAGTTTTCAAAAAATTTAAAGTAACTTGCCCTTCAAATTTCAAGTATCATTATTTTATGTACCACCAAAGAGGAAGGTGTATTTTGTCCAAGAGGAATATGAGGAAGGGATTTGAGGAGGTAACAAAAGTATGTGACGTATGATGAAATGCATACTCCTGTAGTGTGCTTCATAATGTTCTGATATTCTGATATTGACAAATTTCATACATAAAATTGTATTTCTTAGGCTGTATTCTAAAATATTTGAGTAAAATGTCCAATATCTCAAGTTCCTGAGAAGTATTTATCATATACTTTAGTAATATTGTATGTGTATTGTGGAAAGGGGTGTGTGTGGTGTATTACCATATAGTCCAAGGCAAGTATAATTATAATTTTTTTATTTCTTACGCCGGTGTCTTCCATCCTGTCGTGTTCTCTGGAGAAAGTAGCTGCCCTTCCATCTGTTTTAATCACTGGTATTTCACCCTAGTACTGTTTGAGTATTCGCTACTCATTTATCTGAAAATGAATGGTTATATTTTGTGCAGAAGGAGGGATATGAATGCCTCTCTAGCCACTGGTTCTCTTTATTTTCACTGTCAAATAAACCAATCTAATAGTTGCTTAGCCTAGCAGAAACCAGCCTTCTTTGAAGTCCTGTTTAAACATGGCTTTTTAAAATTAAATGTATTGGGGCTTCCCTGGTGGCGCAATGGTTGAGAGTCCACCTGCCGATGCAGCGGACGCGGGTTCGTGTCCCGGTCCGGGAAGATGCCACATGCCGCAGAGCGGCTGGGCCCGTGAGCCATGGCCGCTGAGCCTGCGCGTTCGGAGCCTGTGCTCCGCAACAGGAGAGGCCACAACAGTGAGAGGCCCGCGTACCGCAAAAAAAAAAAAAAAAAAATTAAATGTAATATGTAACTTGCTTGAGGCAGGACATCTTCCTCAGTATCGACACACTGAAACAAAATGTCTAATTTTCTTGGCGAAAATACAGTAGATGACATATACCCTCTATTGCTTTCATCAACGGGTTAGTTATCGAATCAAGCATATGCTGGTTGTTATGCATCTGCCAGTT